GCTTGTTGAATAAATGAAAGGTTAGAACATGTTAGTGTTTGTTACGTAAACATAATACATACAGTATATCAGCAGCATCAGCAAACATGCAGAAAATAAAACTGCAAAAGATACTAAGATGGAAGAATAACTCAATCGTATTTTGTAGCTAAATGAACCTGGGTTATTTCTCGCAAATTATTCCCGTAGTAAGTAATATAAAAGAGTCAAAACTAAAGGATAAAAGGAAGCTACTTGATTTGCACAATGTATGTAAAAAAAAAAAGGTTGGTGGGCCTTGAAAGCAGCAGAAAACCCTCCCCGTTTTATGATTTTAGTCTTTCTGAACAGTCTGTCTTTAAAAACTTTCTAATTGTATTTAGAAATTTATACAAGACCCTAACTTGATAATTACTGAAAACGCAGTCTGGAAAAAAGCTAAATGATTGAACGTTTTCTGCCAAAATGCTGCAATCAAGCATGTTTCCTAACAACAATTGTATGAATGGAAAAAGTAGTTTACCACATAGCAATGTTTGACGAGCAGGTTAAAAACATCATTTGTACAAATCAACATGCAAATCTGCAGCGCTATAGCCTTAAGCTTCTCCTTCACTCAGAGCTAAACCACATTACAGGTTTCAGCAATGCAGWGGACTTGTCATCCTTTCGGAGCCTCTCATAGTTGATCATCAGCACAAGCATGACATCGCAACTCTTTAGATTCAAGTTGTTGTCTCTAAGCATTCAAGTCACACAACACGCACCCACAGAGTCGACCCACGGCGTGGCTCTGTTGGAGGCGGATTCAGACGTCATCTCAAACAGGCTGCACAAAGAGCGACTGGGAACGTCTTCATTCTGAGGTCCCGCCAATGCATCAGTCACCAAGCTGTCACAGGTTCACTCTCTATATGCTGGAAACCACACGGCTTTTAKTCCGTGAGAACCACATTTAGCCAAATTATCTATCGATATCAACGGCTTTCGAATGTTAATATTTAGATTTGTGCTGGCGCAACAGAAAACACAACAGTGTTGTTTTATTAGATGCAGATGAGGGTTTTCTTCCACTTTTACGTTGCCAGAGTTCTTGACAGATTTTCTCTCAATGTTTTTTGAAAGGGTTAAAAATGGGGCTGATTGTTTGTCTCTATGAAACCCCGTCTCTCGCACCATAACCGCTGAAGGCAGGCACAAATGGATGGATGAATGAGTAAAACATTAGTGTGTTAAAAATGTGTTTTATTCCTCACATACTGGAGTGCACTTAAAAAGGAACGTAAACTTTGTTTCTGGAGGCAAGAAAATCTACAACTGAGAGATAGCAGGTGCTACAATGGTTTCACATTAGTTTTTTCATTAAACTGTGTCATGTTTTTTTTTCTTTTCAGCTCAAAATATTTTGATCGCTCAACTAAAAATWAGGGGAAGATATTACCCTATAATCTGCATAACTTAGAGCAGATAAATCACATGCACACATTTAAWGTGGCTCAATTTGTCAATAAAAATGTTAGGTTATTACCTAAATGCAGTAACTGAGTGACTACAAGATGACAGTGGAATAGTGTTTGTTTAAAGCGTTACTTACCCAATTTCATTATTTTATTGTAAATTTCCTGAATGAACACAATCTCAGCTATTTTCATTGTAAGGCCTAGCATTCCCTGAAGAGACACATATCGCCCAATCGCCTTTCATTAACAGCATCCCTATGATGAGAAATAACAGCGTTTGAAGCTTCAGTTGTAAATGTCCATCAAATGATTCCTTTCAAAGAGTTTCATTATAATATTTTAGTGATTCATGAGATCTTTTGCTAACAGTACAGACAAATGAACACATGTACACACGCTCATGCAAAAACATTACTCCTCTGCCTTCCCATCCGCAGTGGGGCTGACAATAATTACCGTAGMTCAAATTAAGCCCAACAACACTGGTGTAACATTTTAGTCACAAATTTTCTTCCGTAACAACGGCATGAATAATTGGAAAAACAAAGCTGTCCTGAAATGCACTGCTTCAGGACACAGGTGCTGATGATTGTTGCTGCATGTGTACACAGAGAAAACAGGCCTGGCCTGCTAACAAGGAAAATATAGAAACAGCAATACCGGGAAAAAAAATGGAGGTAAAACATCGACTGATTTCTCATTAATCCTCCATCCAAAGATGAGGCTCTGATTTAAATATTCAGTAAAGAAAATGTGCTAAATTAAAAAAAAAAAATCCACAAACCCATTCCACAAGTTGCTTTAATCCCCCACAATGAAATGCAGCATCATATGTAACTGACATGCTGCACCTCTCAGAACCGGACTGTAAAACCACCTGAACAGAAGCTGCTCTGTTACTAAAACCACACAGGTTCCTTCCTACTAACAAGATAACAAGTTTCTGTCATGTGCAAATCATTCTGCGACACTGCAACATCGAAACGTCCCAGAACGTTGTTGTTTATCTCCTGGAGGTCACCGCAGCACAGCTGAGATGGTGTGATTTGGGCTGAGTGAAGAGAGCAGGTGAGAGCTTTAATCTGCCACAGCTCAGCTGAGTGCTGCACAGGTGGAGCGCCGTTTGTCTGCGCAGAGACAACTGTCCCTCAACACGTCAAATCTGACAGGAAGTCGGATCTTGAGGTTTTGCAGACTGTTTAAAAGCAGAAAACTTAACGCAGTCAAGAAAAATGCAGACTGTTTACTCATTTCAACTGCTGCCAGAAGGGTGAAAATGTTTTAGCAGACGTGGTTATCATTAGCTAAATAGTTCATGAATCAAGGAACGGATAATGAAGGAGTAATGAGGAGAGAATATGAGATGGCTTCCATGACTGGCTGACTTCCACAAATACAAAAACATCTTTTGTCTTTCGTGAAACACATCATATTTTTTATGACAGTCATTCTGAYCATTTTCCAATCAGACCCAGGTCTTTTTCAAATACGCTACTAAATCGGATACATRTTTGATGTTTTTCAAAGCAACTGCATTCTGAAAAGTCATGCCGCATTTCAACTTTTTGGATTTGTCAGGCTAAAACCCTTCCCTAACACATGAAGCTAAACTTGGTGTCGGACAGCAAAATGAGTTTGTTTCCCTCCTCTCAAACAGTAAGCGTAATCCTGCAATCGAAYGTAAACGAGCTTGAGAGATGATGATCTAGTCAAGTATTCAGATTTTAGCTCCAATCGCACAACTTCAGAACTGAGACACATGTAGCGTTTACTTCCACAAACACAGGAYGATGCATGCAATGTCACATCTTTTACACATGTGGGTCACCTCAGGACCATAGGAAGTAAACTTAAACTATAGTGCTGCTGTTTAAAAAAAAGTGACGTCATCAAACAAATTGGGATTGAGCCTTAAAAGCTGCAGTGTGAGYGTAGCCTCATTTTCGAACCCTTAAAAAATGAAAGGAAGACGATGCATTCTGTCAAGGGATGCTTGAAAAACATCAAATTTGCTTTCAACAATTTTACCTAACCCAGAGCAGAGGTTTGTAACATGCAACTTAACRGTTTCTCTGCAGGAAATAAATACTCATATTCAGAACCATAKGAGAAACTGCTAGTTGTTGCAGTTTTCCTGTCAAAGGTCCTGCAAACACGTGATTTATACTAATAATACAAGAAGCAACACACCGTGCTCAGATCAGTTTGTAAGTTAGTTGCTTCATTAATCCAACGTCCAGTACAATGACCTTTTTTTTTCCTTTTTTCTAAACATTTCTATTGCTAACTTAAGAAATTTTGCAAAAAATACTCTAAATTAAATTTTCAGGAATTAAATAAGCATGAAGGAAATGAGGGTATGCTTTTAAATTCAGCAGGTTGCAATCAAATATCACTCAAGCAATTTGTTTAATTATTAAATGTTTATGCTTGTTTCATTATTTATTCATAAATACAGAAGACTCTATAGGCGGCATCCCCTCATATAACAATATGATCATTTCTTTTGCTCTAATGTGCAAAAATGCAAGTATTATATTTTATGACAGATTTATGGTTTTATAGCTATTTGTATTTTTACAACACTTAACGAACCTTCTGAAACCTGAATAAAATATGTCCTCATTATATAATCCATATGTTCCTAACTGTGTGCTGAGATTTAGGTAAACCCCGCAGACAGACAAGGAGAAAGTGTGAATAGAAGGAAGAGATTAGGAATGAGGGGGTGTAGGGATTGGAGGGGATGTTGGGGTGGGGGTGTAAAATATTCTCAGACATCCTCTTCCTCCTCCTCATCCTCATCCCCTGCTCCTCAACAGGCCCCAGAAAGAAAAAAAAAAAAAACACGCAAAAAGGCACGGCGCAGGAATCAAGTGTCCCCGCTGTCACGCAGCGTCTCACCGCAAAGCCATTATTAAACACAACACACACACACACACACACACACACACACACACACACACACACACACACACACACACACACACACACACACA